CCACTGTGTCCACTGCTCCCTGGCTTGGGACAATCTACCTTTCTTCTTACCAAGCAAAATCTTACATCCCAATTAAAGATATTTCAAGCCTGAAGCCTTGACAAAGTCTTCCTTGATTATCCTTGCCATTGTAAAGCAATGTTTCCATCTTGTGAACTTGACATATAACACTTCACTTTCACATTTTTTCACTTACTAGTTCTATTTTTACTCCTGTTTGAGTAAATGTCATATCACTGTGCCATATATATCTTCCTATCATTCCATTGCCTCTAGGAAAGCAGAGATGTATTGGGCATGATTCATTTTACACAGAAATAATAAATGATTCTTGAGTCAGTGTTACTTGTTCATATTGTAGTTTCTGGGCACAAAATACCTTATGTGCTTTTAATGGACTGAGATGATCACTAATTTTTTAACTCTAATGTGTTAGGAAATCCAAATTTGAATCATTTTCAAGTGAAACTATTGTTAGGACTTATAAATAAAATGAATGACTGTTCTTAGTAACACTTCAATGCTTTAGTACGAGAACTGAAAGATAAAAGCTAGAAATGGCCCTCTCCACAGAACAATAAGAGGTATAATGATGAACAACTTTGGATCAAAATATGTTTTAAGAATTTACATTACATATCAGCTGTAGATTAATAAAATAAGAAAAAATAAAAATAAAAATAAGGAATAAACAAATATTAAAAAGAGAGTTTATGTGGATTTCAATAGTCTGAACTATATCTGATTTTGCCATCATGAATAATTGAGAATTGATTAAAAATATATATAAAATATTTCTCAGTTGAACATACTTTTTCACAGTTACATTATCTTTTACTGAAAATGAGAGAAATGTTTTTACTACATACCACTAGGTTTCCAATCACCATGACCATCATGAAGACAGTAAGGCACATGGTTTGACCAGCAACCTCCATGCAGTCCCACATGGTCTCTATCCACTCTCCACACAGAACCCGGAACACAATTAGGAAGGAGTGGAAGAAGTCATGCATGTGCCAGCGTGGGAGTTCACAATCATTGGAAATCTTGCAGACACATTCTTTGTAGCTCTTACCAAAGAGCTGCATGCCGACCACGGCAAAAATGAAGACAATGATGGCCAACACCAAGGTGAGGTTACCCAGAGCTCCCACTGAATTGCCAATGATCTTTATCAGCATATTCAGAGTTGGCCAAGATTTTGCCAGTTTGAAAACTCTGAGCTGGAAACAAAAGCAAGAAGATTGTTACTGCCCTGCATTCTAAAGAATCTGTATATCTATTTATCTCTATTTCAGAGTGATGGATTATTTGTGTGCCATACTATTATCTAGCAAATGTATCAGTTTGATACCATGGGGTATTATTCATTCTGAAATAGTATATATTATAAATAAAATAATTATACAGTATTTATTGACATTTTAAAAATAAGATACACCAAATATTCCAGAATCTTACATAAGCATTTATAATATTCTTTTAATTTTTCTGTAAGGAACATAGCTATCTATGATTAATGGTGATTAATTAGCAGAGGCTGTTTCAGAAACATTATTTAAAACCCCGAAGTGGATATATTTTTTGGCATGCTTGAAATATCATGCTAAAATGACAAGTGCAGACAACATAAACACTTAAATTATATAAGGTACAAGAGAAAAGCCAATTAACTCTTTAAATCTCTTGACTGCTTTAACCTTGCTATATTTTTAGCTTGCTGTAATACTACCCTGTATTTTAAGGAAGATTCTTTATATTCAAATAAGAAATACTTGGACTTGAGTAAAAAACTGTATTTTATCAACCTTTATGTCTTCAGTGACTTAATCAACTCATCATAGTGGGTAAATGGCTCTCCACCACTGTGCTTGACATGTTGGTTGGATTAGTTTGTAGAAGCTTCTAGAATACTATTTATCATTAAACAACATCAGCATTTTATTTCTGATACTTCAGTAAATGTCAGGCCAAGAGCAGTGCATTATTTAATGGCAATTAAGTGACCCAAAGGAGCAAATGTAAGCATGAAAATGTTTAATTTATTCCCAGAGAATAATTAAGGCAGAAGAGTCTGATATATTAAGCAAGATACTAATGATATTATATGCTTTCTATATCCCTAAACTACATTACATTATCACAAAGATTTACTAAACTTTTTAAAAGTAGTTGCCCATATTTCCTTGTTATATAATCATTTCTAAAAAGTTTTGCTTTTTTTGTATCTTTCTAGATTCAACTTAGATTCATAGCTATCCATGAAGACTAGGAAAGGAAATCATAGCTCTAAGGCTCTTGAGACAAATAGTGGTAGGGGAATTTCTAAACAGACTTCACAACAAAATCTTGAGGCTAATCATTATTAAGATAAGTTGCCTATAGGAACCTGTCTTTACTAACTGTATACAACCTCTGTTATTTGAAAATAAAATCACAAAAAGAGTCAACTCAAACAGCACAATAAAACATATCGAACTTCAAATGGAAAAGTGTCAAGTGACATTCTGTTTATTAATTTTAAAAGATCCATAAACTTATGAAATATAAAGACCAAATGAAAGACTCTTTCTTTAAAATTAACAAAATAAACAAAATTAAGCAACTCTTCTTGAAGAGTGGATTTGGTAACTTCCTGACTGGCTGAAATAGCAGACATATGGAAGCTCTGTCCCTTTTCCTTGTACAACTCTACACAGTCCCAAGTCTTAGCGTCTATGGAGACAAAGTGGGCAACTTCATAATTCCTGAGCCTCTGGTAGAAAGATGAGCCCATCTAAGTCCCAGTCAAGCCATATTATGGTTAAACATACCCCTCAGAGCTGAGAGATACATATCGTGTTAATTGTGATTTGGGTTTATCTATCACTCCCTTTTTCTCCCTCCTCATTAGCCTTGCCATTCAATTACTAAGGAGAGAACTGTTGGCTGCTCATTTGAATAAACTTAATCTATTCATTAAAACTATGATGAAGAAGAAATTACCATGTACTATGTTAGAAATGTATTCAAATCATATTAAAACTATTGGAAACCTTGTAATTTTTACTAGATAAGAGTGACAATTAATTAAATTATTTATAAAAATATTATGTTTACTCCCAGTTAATTTACCAGCCGAAATGATCGAAGAACTGACAATCCTTCCACGTTTGCTAAACCAAGTTCCATTAAACTAAGGCTCACGATTAAACCATCAAAAATATTCCAGCCTTCTTGAAAGTAATAATATGGATCCATGGCAATTATCTTGAGAAACATTTCTGCTGTGAAGATCCCTGTGAAAACCTAAATGAGAAATGTTTATTACATGAGTGAAGACTCTTGAAAACAAATAACTATTGAGCAATTTAATTTACTTCCAACAAATCATAACTTAATCCTGAATTTCAAAAATTGGTTTATATATTCAAATCCATATTTAATTATTTACTATTTTTAAGGTTCATAAAGTGATGAAGAATACAACAATTAAGAAAATAAAATTATTATTCTTATTATTATATTCTTAAATGAAAGGTTCAGCTAACTCATTGTGGTCAGCTTCTTGGGTCTCTCCCTAGCCTTCCAAAAACTCACCAAATAATTACCTAACAGTTTGGTTCCCTCTCATGGCCCTGCAGGCAAGACTGGTGCTAAGAAGGTTGTATTGGCTGTAATAAACAAGATCACCACTAGCCCTATAGATTAAGAATGCGTTAAAAAAAAGTTTATTTTCCTGGCCAAGGAGAAGCAGCATTCTCCTTTCTCCATTTTCTTTCTCTACAAGTATTTCAAACTTTCTCCTCCATGTCTTCAATCATTTTTCTTTATCCTCCACTCTCAGTACTTCCACATCTTAGAGGTAATGGAAGTCAGCCAACCTGAAATTACTTATATCTTCATTATATCTACCAAATTACTTACACTCGTACCATGTTTTGGTTTGGTTTTTTCCTGTTAAAAATGAAAGACATGTCCCTGCTTTGCTCTAGTTTCTCCAACTGCATTATGTATTTCCTTTGGTCTTCTCAACGAATTCACTTTCTCAATTAATCTGTAGTTTTAAACTTCTTCCTGTAATGACTGCTTTCTGTTGGATTTTACAGGAAGCAATAGATATTCAGTCCCTCTCCACCTTAAAACTACCACCAGCATTATCAAAGAAACTCTCCTTGTATTCTACTTCCCCCGTTAGCTACCACTATCTGTCCTTTCCTCATGAGCCAACTTCTTTAAGAGTTTGTGTGCTCGTCTATACTCATTAGTTCATTTCTTTAACTTACTCCATAAAAAGTCCAGAATTTACCTTACCACTTTCTCTACACAACCTTGCTTCTCGTCTGATATTTGCTAAGTCGGTAAATGGAATCACTCTCTCCCTCAGTGGCCAACTCAGCAACCTGAGAGTCTTACTAACTTTTCCAAATACCTCTTGAATACTTCAAGTTGAAATTCATCCATGCACATTATTACCAGTTTTTTCTCTCTTTATCATTGCACACAATTCCATTGTTTGAATATTCTATGAATATTTCAATAATTTATAGAATTTTTTGTCTCTTTTCCAAGAAATCTAGGCACCCAATCACATGTGCTAATATTTTCATATATTTTACACTGACATATGCTATAAACCCTTGCTTTAAACAGTCTTTTAAAGAAATTAAGGAAAAAAAGACAGTATTTCCTATTTACCCACATCTATTCATTTCTAATGACCATTATTCTCAGATTCAAATTTCCATCTGATATGATTTTCCCCTCCAGCCTGAAGAACTTCCTTTAGCATTTCTTGTAGCACAATTCTAGTGCAACAACTTTCTTCTTGTTCTGTTTATATTAAAATTCTTTGTTTCATACTAGGTTTTGAAAGATAGCTTCCCCATAGAATAATGGCTTAACTTCTTTTTTTCTTTCTTTCATCAAGCCACTTTTTTTTAACACCTTTTTTCGTGGTATGGTTACTGAACAGTAAACCGCACATATTTCAAATGTACAATCTGACGAATTTTGATAGATGTATACACCAATCAAACCACTACCACAATCAAGATACCTAACATTTCCATCATTCCCCAAGAAGTGCAGTTTTTGAATTCCATCAGGCCACTTTCTTATGTCCTGAACTGTTTCTGATGAGATGTTAATCCCTTGTATATATGTATATTTTTTCTGCCTGCCTCCAAAAGTTTCTTGTTTTCACAGCTTGACTAAGATGTGCCCAATGTAGTTAATTTTATTTATATCTTTGTGATGTTCACTGAAATTTTATAAATTAATATTAAGGTGGCTAAATTAACACTTCTCATCAATTCTGAGAAATTTTTGGGCATCATTTCTTCAAATATTTGTTTTGTTCCATTCTGTCCCTTTTCTCCCTATGAGATGAAAATGAAAATGAAATATGAAAATATTTTGCAAACATTAGACAACTTGATGTTGTTCTATAGATTAATGAGATTTAGTTCATTTTTCCTCTCAGTTTTTTCTGCTATTCAAATTGGATATTTCTATCAATTTGCTTTAAGTTCAACAACACTTTCTTCTGATATCTGCAATTTTCTTTCAAACTCATCCAGTGAATTTTTCACTTCAGAATTCATACTTTTCAGTTCTAATTCTTTTTTATAGTTCCCATTTTTTCCTGCTCATGTTTTCTGTTTATTCTTTATGACCATTTTTCCTTTAAGTTGTTAAACATGTTTATAATAGCTCCTTTAAAGTCCTTTAATGTTAATTTTAGTAATTTGGTCATCTCTGTATCTATTTCTACTGAGCAATTTTTTCTCTCAACTATAAGTTATATTTTCCTGTTTCTTCATGTATCATGTAATTTTTCATGTGATGAGAATAATGTGCTGTAGAGAATTTTGATTTAATTATTTTCCTCTGAAGAGTACTGACTTTTGTTCTAGCAGGCAGCTCAATTATAGGTTGGCCAACTTGAACGTATGGTAGCTTGGTTTAATACTTAACTAGGGCACAGCTATTTTGGTTTGCTCTTTGTTCTAGTTGAATCTTCTGGTTCTCTGACATAGCCTTTACTCCTTAAGTATAATCCATCTGGGGCTTCAAAGGAAAGTCCAAGGTCTCTGCCCAATTTCTCCATCTTGGTCAGCTTTGAATTCCAAACTCTGTTGGGAAGTATTCTCTTCTGTTCTATTTTTTGGAAGAATTTAGGAAGAATTGGTGTTAATTGTTTAAATACTTAGTAAAATTCACCAGTGAAAATATCTGGGCCTACACTTCCCTTTGCGGGAACATTTTTCGATTACTAATTAAATTTTTACTTGTAAATTTTTTCAGATTTTCTACTTCTTTCATCAGTTTCAGTGGTTTATTACTTCTAGGAATTTTTCCATTTCATCTAGGTTATCTAACTTATTGGTATAAATTGTTTATAGTACTCCTTACACTCCTTTTTTATTTCTGTAAAGTCTACAGTGATGTCCCTTCTTCATTCTCGATTTTAGTAATGTGAGTCTTCTCTCTTTTTTTCTTGGTAATTCTAGTTAAAAACTTGTCATTTCTGTTACTCTTTTCAAAGAATCCTTTCGAGTTTGTTGATTTTTTTCTAATGTTTTCCTATTCCCTATTTCATTAATTTCCACTCTATTCTTTATTATTTCTTTTCTTCAGTGAGCTTAAGCTTTAGTTTGCTCTTCTTTTTCTGGTTTCTAAAGATGAAAGTACAGATTATGGATGTGAGATATTCTTTTTTACTACAGGCATTTATAGTATAAATTTCTCTCTAAGCACTGTTTTAGCTACACTTTGTAACTTTCAATTTTGCGTGTTTTCATTTTCATTCATCTCAAAGTATTTTGTAATTTTTCTTGTGATTTCTTCTTTAACCCACTGGTTATTTACAAGTATGTTTTTAGTTTCCACATATTTGTAAATTTTCCAAATTTATTTCTGTTTATTGATTTCTAATTTCATTCTATTTTTGTGAGAAAAAGTACTTTGTATGATTTCAAACTTTATGTAAGTTTAATGAGGCTTGTTTTATGACCTAACCTATAGCTTATTCTGGGGAATATTTTATATGCACTTGAGAAGAATGTGAATCCTGCCTATGTATCTTCTACTACTCCAAGATTCATTTCAAATACAGATATTATTTTCTTTAACACATAAGAAAAGACCCACTATGAATTGTCCATTTGTTGTTTATGTCTTTCCAGCATCTACTCCCTCTTCTTCTAGTAATGGCAGACCTAATTTTTTTCTTCATAACTGTACTCACTTACTCTGTCCAATGATGAGACAGGTTCTGGTTTGGCCAAATAGGGCATTCTAACCTTAGAATCAGGTTAACTGCCTGGCTTAGAAATGGTCATGTAACTCCAACCAGGCCAATGATATTCAGTTCTTGGTCGTTTGTTAAAATTACTAGTTAGGACACACAATCCCTCTGCTTAGGGAGCTGTGTTGGTAGGATAAAAGTTAGTAGAACTTTGCCACCAATAGAACACCTAGCCAGAGATGAAAGAAACATATCGGGGGAGCGTTAGCTAGAAGCTGACTCCCAATGATATTGACTGAAAACCTGAATCTAGCCAGATTAAAATCTGGAGGAGTGCCCAAATGGACTTTAGTTACCTGAAGTAATGAACTGTCTTTATTTTTGCATAAGCCCATTTGAGTTGTTTCCTAATACCCACCTTCATAAAGCTTCCTTTCATCCCTTGTTCACTTTTGAGAAATAATGTTGAAGAGATTCCTATATAGGTGAAAATTTGGACTAGGTAACGTTATTGTCCTTTCCTAAAGTTCTATGATTTTTGACCACAGCTTTAAATAGTCTCTGAAATCTTTCAGAGTATCTGATATAGTATTCAGAGCTTCCATAGCTCTGTCAGTTTCTCATGGGTACAGTTTTCCTCATTGTATAATGGAGACATTCATAGCATCTGCCTTAGGACTGATTTTATGGGAACCAAGGGAAAGATTTTATGTAAACCATTTAGTACAGTGCCTGGTACAAAGTAAGCGGTCAGTATATGTTAACTTAATCAGTTAAGACCTATCTGGACTATAATTTTAAAAAATAGTGGTTACTTCAGAGCCTAAAAATATTGTGTACTATACTTCAGAATATATTATTTACTATCTATATATAGCCTGTTTATATGTTTATTTATTAAGTTGGGAGGTTTATGAGAACTTAATAAGCCTCTTTTATTTATATTAATAAGTTTTTGTTCCTTGACTTTATTCATTTTGTTTCTTTGTAAAAGAAACACTTTGATTTCTGTCACTCTACCATGTATCCAGTGAATGTTAATACAAAATTTTAAATAAAATATATGCAAAAATTCATCACTTACAAATTCCTAAATTTACAGGACAATTCAAACAGAAATAATAACCTCTATATGATATTTCCTCTCCCAGAAATCCATCTTCAGGTATGTACAAATGGTATTTCAAAATTATCTGACTTGGCATATTTTATAATTTGTTTGGCAAATGTAGACATGTCTAAAAGAATCTACTTTAAATACCTGAGTAATACATCAGGGTTTTATCATAGACCAGTGTCCTTAATTCATAATAATCTTTCTAATGAATGGGCAATTTAAATTTAATTATAAATCAAATTATACATAAAATCTTTGAATCTTTTCCACTGCTTAATTGTAGCAATATATTTTTGTTATTAAAAAAGTGATGCTAAACTTTTTCACTATCCAGGTATACATGGCCAATTAATTCATATTTAGTTTAAGAGTGATATGTGAAGTTCATTAAGGCAATCATGAACTCTTTCAAAAGCAGAGAAACCCTTAGTGAGCCTTACCAGGTTCCCAACAGACAGCACACTGCTGAACTGCTCTGTCATGGGATAGTGCTCCATGGCCATGAAGAGGGTATTTAAGACGATGCAGATGGTGATGGCCAGGTCAACAAATGGGTCCATCACGACCAGATTGACGAGATGTTTCACTTTTAGCCATGGCTTACAACAGTCCCAAATCAAACACGTGTTAGCAAATTTATACCAGCAGGGTGGGCATTTCTGTCTGGATTCTTCAAGTTCTGGAAGAAAAAAGTTAGAATACTTATGAAAACTGCTTACTTCCTATTTAGCAGACTTCGGTTTAAATTGAAAGTAATTTAAAAAAAATCTAAAATTGTTAAAAGGCATTATAGGTTAATCTGATGGTGGAGCAGAAAAACACTTAGAATGGATTAGCTGTCAGAAGTGTGGGCACAGAAAGGCTAGGAAGCATTTCAAATTTATCTTGGCTAAACATAATTTCCAAGATTCTATCTACAATTTAAACTGATAATTATCTTCAAGGCTATCAGAAATTAATGGGTAGGACTTATGTTAAGTATACTTAAAGCTTATCTATGATTCCAGATAGAGCAAGACATATATTATCAAAGAACTCCTCTTGGAAGATGTCTTAAGAACCTTTATCAGTCCTGCTGAATCTCAGTTTCTTGGATTAGATGTGTTTTATTGGATATTTTAATGAGATAGCTTTGTCAATGTCACTAGTCTTAATTTTAATTTTTTAAAGCTTTTTAAAGTTTCTAGTTATGCCCATTAGATACAGGCCTGTATATTAAACTCAACAAGATTCCTTTTCTCTACATTTCTTAATTTAACTAGGGGGCACAGAAGAAGAGGAACTATCCATCTTAAGAAACTGAGATATTCATGGTTTCATAAAATGGGACTTATATACTGCTGGTAAAATATGAGAGGATTTTAGGTGGAACATATGTAGAATTCATAAATTTTCATGGTATGCATTTATTTTAATGTATTAAAAATATATAACTATCATATCAAACCTAGTATATAAAATTTCATACTAAAGTACATTTACTTTAGAAAAAATTATGATTTCAAGAATTTCAAGTAAATAATAGGAGATTGAAGACAGAAATGCACAGATCTTTAAAGTGATACTGAAAACTCTGAACCTTAGTAAATACTGGCAAAGAATTTGGGGGAATTAGGAAGTGGGAAATTATCTACTATCTTCCTTTGGCATGTTCATCTCTTAATCAACTCTTGAGTGGGAAAGGATGCAGAAGTTGTTTTCTGCCAATAGCATCGCTGCACATTCTTTTACCTCCTCTGTCAAATATGAGAACACCACTTATTAGCACTAAAATAGAGGGAAAGATTCTTTGTTCATCCATAGCATAGTTGACTCTGATTGGTCACTTAAGGATTACTACTGTGGCAACTGAAATATCCCTCCAAACCTGGTACAGTTTACTAGGAACTGAACTTTTTAAGGGAGTTTATGCAATGGACAAATACAACTATAAGTAGTGAGTTTTTTGCTTTGCTGATAAACACTGACTACTAACTAACTTTACCACTTCCCTAAAGCAAATTAATTTTCTGATTATTTTTAACAGAATTTCATTACAGATAGATTCTTCATTTGTCTCTTTAGATACTGAAATTCCTAAAGCACCCAGTTTATTTCCATTTCTCCTATGTAACTTTGTAAACAACAAAGAATAGTTGAGTTGTAAATCAGAAGAAAAATATAAATTTAATTATTATGCAGTGTTTTGTAGATGCTCTTAGGACTCCCAAATAAACTCATATTTATACTAAAGGTAAAAAGACATTATCACTTACAGTAAACAACAAAAGAGAATTAAAAAAAGCTCTTTGTGTATGTAGTGAGAATAAATTTTTTTTTAAACACTACTTGTAGTTTAGTAGATAAAGAGAAGCAAACAGAAACTCTGTGGGAAAAAAATAAATCAGAGAAAAGTTTAAAAGGGAAAACTCAGCCAATGTTGCTCTTCTTGACATCAGGAGAAAGCGGAGCAGAGTTGTTAAGTTCTAAAATAAAATCATTCAATTATTCATGCTAAAAAAAAAAGAACCTCACATTTTGAAACAAAACAAAGCACTCAGGAGAGAACTACAGCCATGTCTCCATTATTCCTGGGTGGGTTATCCCCACTGAGAATCATTTACAGCCCGATTTAGATCTTTGGCTGGCTCCCCTCAATTCCTCAGGTGTTTCTCACCTCACCTTCCCATCATATTTCCCAAGGACGTGACCAGGAAATATTTCCATGGTTTATGTATTTTAAATGCTTGAAAAGCAAACAATTCATTTTTGCTTATCTCCTGCAGTTTCATTAAGTAGGAGGCTATTCGTTACCCTGGACAATGGAGACCTAGCTGTAGTTCAAAAGAAGGAAAACAAAAGTTGCCAGCCTGGATCAATAAGCCTGGTTCAAAAAAAAGGAGAGGTGAACTAAACTGTGATTAGACTTAGAAGAAAGGATCCCCACATAAACAGATTATGTCAACTTAAGACATCTTTTCACCATTATCACAAACAGAAAAGGACTATATTAAAGACAGTTCTAGTTGCACATATATGTTATGTATTGCTAATAGCCAGCCTTGGTCAATGCCACATTCAAAGTGTTTAGATAAAGTTGAATAAAGAAAAGTATGCTTTTCATTCTATATACAAATGGAAAAACAGAATGAAAACTCAGCCATTGTTCCTCACAAAAATGTAGTTAAAAGCTTTGCAGATGTTAAAACCAAACACTCAGTCTTCTGCTTCCTGAGTTACACTTATCTCTAGGACATCCTTTTCATTCTAAGCAATTCCATGAGGTACATTTTCATGGAGGGTGATGCGGGTGCTCTCATTTTTAACTCCATATCTTAATTAGTGGACCAGTCCAATCTTGTGGTGGGCTGATGTTTTTTAAGTAATTTCCTAAGTTAGCTCAAACTTAATGCTATCAGAAATGCAAAGTAGGACTGTTGATTTAGACTTACCCTGTCTCCTTCTCTGCTTCTTGCTTTAGGGAGCAGACATGCTGCTGACATCGGTAGCAGAACCACTGGCAGCTTCCTCTCAGTGGTTTTGCTATGGCAAGGAGCAGAAGACCAGAGAATCTTCAAAAGATTTACCTGGAGGGACAGGGAGGAGCAAGCTACTGGCAGCTGGGGGGGAAGAGGGAGTGCAAGCTAATGCAGGCGAGGTTGGGGAAGAACGTACTGAGTTTAATATTCCATAGGAATCAGTGAAAAGATTTCTGATATTGCATTAGGACATTACGAAAATTGGGTCCTGTAGTAACGGACATGGCCATCTACACTGTGAGATTTTCCTGGATGTGACTTTTAGGCTTTTGGTACTTATATTATCATGAGATCTTTGCATTCAGACTAGAAAAGAATTATTCCAAGAATCTTTCCAATATCAAGAGGAACTATAACTAACAGTAACAAAGCATATGTACATGCTCGCTGGTTCTTTCATTCTCCACTTTCTTTTTCCTCTTACACATCTATATACACACACACACTCACACACTTGGGAGGGGAAGAAAAGAGAGGGGCTGTAAAAGAGGAAGGGAGAGAAGGGAAAAGGAGGGCAAGGGAGGAGGATAGAATATATTTTGTATGAAAGCATTTTCCAAGTTGTTGAAGTTGATAGTTGATGTTTGAATTCACTTACAGTATGAAAAGGTGCAAACATGTGAATTAACAAAACAACAATAAAACAACTAATAATAATATTTATTGACTGCCTTCTACATGCCAGGTGCATAAGTGCTTTATGTATGAGGCCTTATTTAATCTTTACAACCTTATCTTAAACATTATTATCCATACCTTACTGATGAAGAAACTGAAGTATAAAATCACAAACTAACACACAGAGCCAATAACTGATCACAGATCAAGCTGTCCCCAAAGTTTTTATTTTGGCGTTAAGATTCAGACCTCTAAACATTATATTAACTATTCAGGTATAAGCTGTAACCAAAGAGAAAGCTGATATATTGTAATACTCTGGTCAAAGAAAGGCATAAGTAGTTCTATAAAATTTTGAAAACTTTGCTTCAAAGAGGTTAATATCAAATCCTAATTCACATTTTAAAATTTATATTTCTGGTTAAATTGAATGATTTTATAGCTTTTATAGCTCATGTTATAATATAATTAATTGTATTAATTACAGTTAATACAAGCAGTATTGTATTAAGCAGTTAATACAATTCAAATGGGTAAGTGTCACTATAAAAATAAGCATTTATCATTACACTCCTTTTAATGTCATGCACATAACAAGGTTCAACAGTTTAGAACTTAATCTACAAAAGTGGTATTCCAAGTATACTTTGAATTTGCAGTAGCTTCCTGGAGGATAAATATAAAAATCTATGAGACCACAGAATCCATGTGTTGCACATGGATTTTACTTTTATTTAGTGAAAGACATAATGATGATGTGGTATCAAGTCAGGAAGAATTATCTTGGAATGTATGGAATTTTTTTGCCATCATTACCAAAGCACCACCAAATAATTGTGCTATAAGATTTTTGACATACCTTCCATGGTGTTGGTCAATATACTAGCCATGCTCATTGCTCTTTGCCTTGCTGTAGGATCTTCCAACAGATCCATGGAAACATGATAAGAACTGGACCGTCTCTTTCTTATTTCTGTTTCAGTAGTCGTGCCCTAAAAATAAAATTTCATATGAAATAACTATTATTTTTAAGGGCAGCAAAATCCAAAGTTGTTCCTGTAATAGAAACTTCTTAACTAAATGTTTAACTAAATGTTTACCATGCTTTCTCAGATGTGAACAGCTCATTAAGACATTGCTGGAATCATCATTCTTGGGAAGTGTTTGAAAGCCCATCAGATTCTCAGCTTTCAGGGATGCCTGGGTTTGTGATTAAGATGGACTTTCTTAATTCCTGCATCTTGGAGCTCTGCGTTAGAGGGATCATACCTATTATTGGATAGATAACCTTTTCGCATGTCAGCCAGTCCTCTCTAGGAGTACATACTGAAACACATCACTTCTTGATTTACTCACAGGGTGAGTTATTAGATCTTTATATATGTATTCATGTGGCTTAATGTACAGAAAGAATTGTTAAACTTTCCCTAATAAGCATCAGTAATAGTTGTCCTAAAATATGAATTGCACTTGTAAAATGCTTTTATTCATTATAGACAGGTAACATTTCCCAACTTCCTTAATAATAAAACTAAATTTTAGAAGTAATCTACAATTTTGTCTTACACTTAGAAAACAATTTCATCCACAAAACAATCCATCCTTGGCACTGAAACTCTGTTTGAGGCAAAACATCAAGTTGTGGGGAGGGCTGATTTTTAGCAATGATGTAATGACTTTCTACTACAAAATAGAGTCACCAGAATTTCAGCATAGATAGAAATTTATTCCTACTTCAGGAGATCAAACAATGAAGTTAATTATCACAGGGGGAAAAAAAGGGCAAAACTCAAGCATTTCAAATGCTTAATAATAAATAAGAAGTCACTTTCAGTTCTCAGAGGATTTTTTTATTTCTAAAATAGCAATATGAGTCTTGTTCATCTACTTAATTGTGTTATGAGTGGTTAAAATTATTTTTTATTAACCTGCATACCTCTAATGCATAT